TCTCCTGCACGCGCTCCCCATCCGAGGTGTCTCCACTCCCGGGGATGTGGTTCCGTGGGGTGGGGGATCCATGGGGCCACACGCCGTCCCTGCAGCCATGGGCAGAGGCAGCAGAGGAAGCTCCCAGCATCGGGAGGGCTGGGGAACAATGGAACAATGGCACGGGATGTGACTCACGGACAGCGAGGGGCGGCAGGTTCAAGGACACAGCGGCTCCAGAAGTTTAGGTTTGAAAACCCTAGGAAAAAAAAATAAATATAAAATAAAAGGGCCTTTGAGATCCTCACGTCGGGGCTCAGCGTGGGAGAGAGAGGGAGCTGGTGTGGGGGGGAAACATGAGCAGTTTGCAGAAGGAAATGACAGCAGTGATGCCATGGGAGCGCAGGAAGGATGGGCACAGAGAGGTGGGTGTGGGTCACACTGGGACAGACTCTGTGTCCCTGCAGTGCTGCACAGTGTGGGGCTGCAGAGGGGCTTCACCCTTACCAGCGAGGGGATGGAGCTGCAGAGCCCCCCAGGATGTGGGATGTGCTGTGGGGCAGGTGGTGACCCCAGGAAGCCGGGTCAGCTCGCAATGAGGATGCTGAGGCTCAGGAGATGGACGGGAGGGGGGGAGGAAAAACACCCTGTCCTCGGGAGATAATGGCACAAAGCAGAGGATGTGTCTCACCGCCACAGGGAAGCGCACCGCAACGCAGTGAAAGCAGGGACAGGAATCCAGCTGCTTACCCCATTCACTCGGTGGGAAGCACATGGCAGCCCCTGCCCAGCCCTGTGCAGCGGTGCTCCTTCCCCTGCACTACGTCAGGGCCACTCTGCTCGCTTCCTCCCAGCTGTTGCGGACGCGCCGGTGCCCACGTCCCATGCACTTAACATTGCAGTGTGCCCAGCCGGGTCCCCAGCGCTTCGCTCCCACCCACATGCTTGGCCTCACGTTGGGGGGGGGTCCCCTCAATGCCACCCTTCCTCCCTCCCTGTGCCCTCAGAGCTGCTGAAGTCCAACAGCTCCCGGTGGCTGCTGGCCCCAGGGGACATGCCGGGCTCCCAGGCACTGCTGCTGGATGAGGACAGGACCTGGCTGATGGTGGGAGCCAAGAACCACATCGTCCTGCTGCACCTGGAGCAGCCCGGCAGGGAGCCTGAGAAGGTCAGTGTGGGGCAGTGGATGTGTGCTGTGCAGTGCCAGCATCTGGCACCGCATCCCCATCACGGCCCATGGTCGTGTGGTTGCAGATCTCCTGGCCGGCACCCAGGGCACAGGTGGAGCACTGCCAGCTGGCAGGCAAGGACGTGGAGGTGAGCGGGGTCGGGAAAACCTGCATGTGGCTTCTGGGCACTGAGATCTGAGCTCCAGCACCGTGGCTGTGCCCACCACTAACAGCTGTCTCCCCTTGAGCAGACCGAGTGCGCCAACTTCATCCGCCTCCTGCAGCCCTACAACAGCAGCCACGTGCTGGCCTGCGGGACCGGCGCCTATCAGCCCATCTGTGCCTTCGTGCAGCTGGGAGCCCCCGGGCAGGTGGGGGCTCCCCATGGTGGTGCCTGGTCTCAGTGCAGCCCTGCTGCAGACTGACCACCCCCAACCCCCTCCTGCCCTGCAGGGTCCCGGGGTCCCCGTGGTGCGGCTGCTGAGCCACTCCGTGCAGTCGGGGCGAGGACGGTGCCCTTACAGCCCCCGGCAGCCCTTTGCTGCACTGCTGGTCGGTAAGAGTGGAGTACCGGGGGATGCAGGGGGGTCTGTGGCAGCTCCCAGCTGCTCCATGCCCACACTGTCCCGCAGATGGGCAGCTGTACTCGGGCACCTCCAGTGATTTCATGGGCAGCAGTGCCGCCTTCTTCCGCACCGAGGTCGGCGGGGCTGAGCGGGGCTACATCCGCACGGAGCAGCACCAGGACCACTGGCTACATGGTATGGGGGCTCTGGGCCCGCTGGTGGCCCCACAGGGTGCTGTGGGCATGGGGCAATGCCATGTTACTGCTCGCAGAGCCCACGTTCATCGACGCCTTCGCCATCCCCGACACCCACAACCCACATGATGACAAGGTCTACGTCTTCTTCCGTGAGACGGCCCTGGAGGGCGGGCAGTGGGAGCGGCGGCACATCCACGCCAGGGTGGCCCGGGTCTGCAAGGTCAGTGTGAAGCCAGGTGGGCGTTCGGCTTCCCCAGTTGCAGTCCCCGTCCCTGCTGTGGGGCTGGATTTGGTGGTCCCCCGAGGTTTCTGCAGTCCCCAAATCCCCTGCGAGTGGGAGCACAGCCCCCACCTCTTTCAGTGCTCTGCTACAGGGCCATGAGCGCATCCCCATCCCTGGGCACTCAGGCAGCGCAGGGATGGGGGCCGGGGCCGGGTGGGTGGATGCAGGTGTGCGTAGCGCTCTTTGCTCATCAGAACGACGTTGGAGGGAAGCGTGGCCTCATCAATCGCTGGAGCACGTTCCTCAAAGCCCGCCTGCTGTGCTCCATCCCCGGGCCCCAGGGCACGCAGACACACTTTGACCGGTTGGGTGAGTGCCTCTCACCTGGGGCTGCTGCTATCCCGCGCCCAGCGCCCAGCCACTCCTCCCTCTCTCTCCACAGAGGACGTTTTCCTCCTCCGCACACGAGACCCCCAGAACCCCCTCGTCTTCGGCCTCTTCACAGCATCCAGGTGAGCCCACTCCTGCACACGGGGCATCCATGAGCCTCCCCAGCCCTCAACCCTGCTACACTGACAGCTGCCCTGCAGTGCTGTGTTCAGCGGCTCCGCCGTCTGCGTCTACTCCATGGCTGCAGTCAGAGCAGCCTTCAGCGGCCCCTTCGCGCACAAGGAGGGCTTCGACCACCGCTGGGTGCAGTACAAGGCCCGCGTCCCCTACCCCCGCCCCGGCACGGTATGGACGCAGGCAGTAGGTGGCATCGGGAGAATCCATCCGTCCCAGCCGTGACACAGCCCTCGCTGTTCCCTGCAGTGCCCCAGTGAGACGTACGACCCACTGCTGCGCTCCACCAAGGACTTCCCCGACGAGGTGATCAGCTTCGTGCGCGCCCACCAGCTGATGTGGGAGCCCATCCGCCCGCTGGGCCGCCGGCCCGTCCTGCTCCGTGCCAACGTTCCCTACCGGCTGCGGCAGCTGCTGGTGCACCGGCTGGAGGCTGAGGGCCGCCACTACGATGTGCTCTTCCTTGGCACAGGTGGGGGCTTGGCACGATGCTGGGGATGGGGATTGGAGTCAGGCGAAGGGTGCGTGCGCAGTGTCAGACCCCCGCTCCACAACACCTTTCTGTGTTGGCAGATGATGGGAAGGTGCTGAAGGTGGGGCTGCCCGGTGAGGCAGGTGCTGAGGCTGTGAATCTGGAGGAGATCAGCATCACGGAGGTATGGAGGAACTCACTGGGAGCGACTGCCCAGTGCCTAGCAAGGCCTCACTGCCTCCCTTCACCTTCCAGGTGCCTTCAGCCATTCTGGACATGAAGCTGTCACCAAAGCGGGTGAGTCCTCATGCTTCTACTCCAAGGGACAGGGCATCTGGCCCCGGCCGTTCACCCCCCAGGTGTGCCAAGGCCCTGTCCCACTGACCACTGCCATGTGCCTGAGCAGCAGGAGCTGCTGGTGAGCAGCACGCAGGGGCTGCTGCAGCTCTCCCTGTCCCGCTGTGAGCTCTACGGGCAGACCTGCATGGACTGCTGCCTGGCCAGAGACCCCTACTGCACGTGGGATGGCAGTGCCTGCACCTCTCTGCTGCTCACGGAGAAGCGGTGAGCATGCCACGAGGTCACCTCATGTTCCCTGCAAGGGGTGGCCCTGGGCTGGAAAGAGGTGCCAGCGCAGCCCCATCCACTGTCCCACAGCCGTGCCCGGTGCCAGGACGTGCTGAAGGCTGATGTGCTCAGCCAGTGCCAGGACACAGCAGAGGGTGAGCACCATTGCTGGGACTGGTGGGCAGCAAGGCACTGCCGGCACCCTCTGCCATGGGGGAGCACAACGCTGGGCTGACGCCGTCCCATTCCCATGTAGGGATGGCGGCCGTGGAGCAGCCGGTGTTCGGTGTGGAGAAGAACTCCACGTTCCTGGAGTGCCAGGCACGCTCCCCACAGACGGCAGTGCGGTGGCTGGTGCGGCGTGGAGAGGGGCTGGGGCTGAGTGAGGTATGAAGGCAGCGGGGATGGGGTGAAAGCGAGGAGGACAGCGGGGCCTGACTGTGCCCGTGCCCAGGTGAAGAGCGGCAGGCGCGTGGTGGTGCTGGAGCAGGGGCTGCTGATCCGCCAGCTGGGCTGGGAGGACGCCGGCACCTACGAGTGCCAGGCTGTGGAGCACTCCTTCTCCCGGCCGCTCACCCGCTACAGCCTGCGCATCATCCGGCACGAGGCCACGGAGCTGCCACATCGCCGTGGTAAAGGGGCCGAGAGCACCTGGACAGACCCGCGGGCGCTGGGGGCACCGGGCAGCGGCAGCCTCGATGCCTACTGCACTGCACTGCGGCTCCGGGAGCGGCAGCGGCAGAAAGCCTGGCAGCAGAAGTGGCAGCACCGCGCCCCCGAGAGCAAGAGCAGCCGTGTGCGCCGGCAGCCCTGGAGGCTGTAGGGGCACAGAACCTTTCCAATATGACTACCTCAGACTGTGCTGGGACTGTCCACCTTGGCACAGCTCCTGGACATAAAGCCCGCGTGCCCTGAGGAGTTGATTCCTATTCTTCCCCGGCCAGTTCTTAGCAGCAATAAGGAAGATAAGAGGTTGAGAATGGAAAGCAGCCATTCTTGCATGTGGTTCCCAGCACCTGGCAGCACCTGGACCTGTGGTGGGCACAGTGCCCACACCCAGCACCATCCCGGTGGGCTGAGGGGTACCCACCTCTCCCATCCCAGCCCACATTGCTTTTATGGATTCCAGAGTCAGGGAGACAACAGGCAGTTATACCAACTTACAATTTATTATTAAAAAAAAAAAAAAAAAATGACATGAAACACAAGTAAAAATAAATACATCATATAAACAACAAATTGTTCCAAGTCTCTGCTCCGGGAGCTCAGGCAAGTACAGCCCGTTGGACAGAGAGCAGAGGGAAGCACGAGATCATGCGTGGGGCACCGACCCACCCACCTTGCTGGGTGCTCCTCCTTCCAACCACAAAAGACCAACCACAAACTAAGGCGGTAGTTAAAAAACGAAAGAATAACCCCCCAAAAACAGGAAAACCGAAGTGAGACTTATTGATGGATTCACTCAGGCTCCACGCACGCGTGGCTGTGCTGTGGGCTCTGGTGCTGAGCGGTGTCACTGTCCCAGCAAAGGGAGCGCATCCTCCGTGGCTGCCAGGAGCCACCATCCCCACAGCGTTACATTACGTTCCCCTTGTGACCAACACCCCCCAACCCTTCCCCAGTTCCTCCCCTGCATGAGCACAATTCATCCAAGTGTGGCGAGCAACACGAGCTGCGAAGGTATTGCTGCCCTTTGCCTCTTTTGACCCCACAACCAAGAGCGATGTTCTGGTGGTGCTCAGCTGTTTGCTGCTGTCACTAAGCCACAACACATCGTCATTTCTAGCAAACACCCCTCTGCTTGCTGGATCCCTCTGCTTTGTGTGCGCATCTGCAGCCGCCCCCCAGCACCCTGCAGAGCCCACCCTGCCCCTGGGACACTGCCCCACCGACCCCAGCTCTTCCTTAGGGTCTATAAGAACCCGGGCAGAGCCCGGTGTCCCCAGCGTCACCCCCAGCCCTGCTGCTCCCACTGGTTGTTGGGAGACAGAAAGTCAGCAGCAAAAATAAAGAGAGAGCTGAACCAGGTGGGAAAGCGCCACTCCAGGCTCAGGGCCAGGACAGGAGCCCTGCAGCAGAACCACATGCTGAGGGAGGGGATGTAGGGTTGGGATCCCTGGGAGAGGTGCTGCAGGGCTCAAAGAGGTCCCTCCACTCAGGAACAGCCTGCATAACCCCATGGTGCTGGGAGGAGGAGGGAGGAGATGGACAAGTGCTGTCCCAGAGCCCTGCAGGCAGCAGTGATGGCCACCCCCTGGGCTGGGCTCTGATGGGGACACGGACCCTCTTCAAGGGGGGACCCCATTGTGTCCAAAGGGTGCCTGGGACCGGGGCAGGCACCTGGTGAGCTGCAGGGAGGCTGCCTGCAGAGCTGTCCTAAGTTCCACCACCTGCAGTGGCACACGGCCAAGTGGGGACACCTTGGGGACACATCTCAGCACAGGGTCCATGAGGAAGCCCGGCTGCGGAGGGGCTCCGCTGCCCCTCTGCTCCCACTCTCCCCACTAGGACCACCCCTTGCTACGACCCATCCCCAAAACCACCAGCAACCACAGCCTCACGGGGACACGGCGGGCAGCGGGGCACGCTGGTAACCATCAGCGGCACAGGGCTGTGCGCAGGCAGACACACAGAGCACGGGAGGGCATGACTCACAACGCAGCACTGTCACGGCTTTGGAGGAACTTGCATGAACACCATCAGTTAATTTGCTTTGTTACTTTTGTGGGGGGGTTTGATTTTTATTTCCATGGTGCATCCAAAGACAAGTTGTCCAGCAGTTTGCTCAGAACCCCTCGGTTTTCAACTCCTAGGATATGTTAAAGAAGAAAGCACTATTTTAATGTTTGTCTTAAAAAAAAATAATAATAATAATTAAAGTAACTTGCATAGCTAAACTGTTGATCTAAGGCTTCTACGAACGGTGTGGTTATGCTTGACAGACAACGGCCATTAAACAGAGAAGGACACTAGGAAAGCCCCGCAACAGTTTTTTTATTGTTTCCATACCGCGTCTCCATCGCGCGCAGCCCTGACGGAGGATGGCAGCGCATCCTGCACTGCCCTGCCTGCTCCCAGCGAGCACCAACCGGGCATGCTCCACTCCGAGAGCCCTCAGGGCTCCCCCGAGCCCTGCAGAGCTGCCTCTCCTTCCTCCCCATCCAGTCTCCTCACTTGGAAGGAGTGCAGCAGCTCCTTCACCTGTCCTGAAAGCACCAGAGGGTTCCCTGTACCCCCCAGCTGCTCTGCAGCCCCCGTGGGATGCGGTGTGATGAAGGGAAGCTACGAAACCACAGCCAACCTGCTCTATGCTTCAGCTGCTCCCCTGCCAGACAGCCTGACAAGCCTCCATGGTGTGATGGAGGCCAGAGCTTCACGGATTTCTTTCTTTTGCATTCATATGGAAATTAATTTAGAAAAAGAGTCCCCCAAGCAATAAATATGACGCCTTCATGTAATAAATTAAGGTAGAGATTCTGTGCAGGGCGGGGGGAAGTGGCTCCATCACAGAGCCACCAGCTGGGTGCAGCCCCCTGCCCTGCCTGGGGCTGAGCCCACTGCAGCAGCCACACAGTGGGCACTGTGGGATGCACCTACCTCGTTGGCAGCCCCAGAAGGGCCTGGAGCCCTCGTGCTGCTTAACAGTGAATTTGAAAAGGACGACAGATCGTTTGTGGGGTGATTTTGTGTCCGGTTTCTTTTTTGTTGTTGTTCATTTTTTGTTTTTTCTTTTTTTTTTTTCTTTCTTTTTTTTTTTTTTTAACATCAATCCCTCCCCCTACGACACACATGACGTAAAGTTTCCCTCCCAACCCCCCAAAACTCCCCCAGTAAAAACGCTTCACCCCTCCCCCCCCCACCCCCCCGACCTCCGCTGGAGCCTCCCCCTGGCCCCCACCTCCCGTGGGGAGGGAAGCTCACGGATAAGGCAGTTCGTGTGAGAGGGAGAGCGCCCGCCAGCACCGCGCCTCCGGGCTGAGAAGGGCAGCGACGGGCACCGAGCCTCCCCCTTCGGACAAGACAGAACAGAGACAGACAGACAGACAGGGCGTGGGAGGGAGGGAGGCACTCCTATGGTTTGCATCGCCGCTTCCCTCCAGCCCTGGCTTGTGCTCCCCCGGCCTTCAGGTCCACCCTAGGTCCCCCACCATCTCCCAGCCCCTCAGTACAGTTCAGATCCTTGATGGCTAAAAAAACCCAAAAACACAACAGAACAGAACAAAAAGAAAAAAACCAACCCCACGCCACACCCTTCACATCCTTCTCCACCCCACTGCCGTGGCCCGGGGCGGGGGGAATCCTGACTCCCACAGAGGTCCTGCAACTTTTGCCTCCCGGTGCAGCTGAGACCGAGTGGGAGCCGGGCCCGTTATTTCCCTGTGATCTCTATAACATCGTCGTCTTTGTCCTCGTCATTAGAGCTGCATCCCACCTCTGGGACCTCCTGGGGTTCAAACTGAGGCACCTGGGAGCGAAGGAAGCCCCCGGCCGGGTAGCCCGAATGAGGGGACACGAAGCCAGGGTAGGCGGATGCCATGCTCCTGGGAAGGCTGCTGGGCAGGACGGGGGCTGGGAAAGGAGCGAACATCCTGGGCTCGGGCAGGAGGGACTGCGTGAAGGGAAGCGAGTAACTGGGCAGCACCCCCGTCAGAGAAGGGCTTAGCATGAATGAGGGGACGCTGGCGGTGGCTGAGGTAGCAGCAGAAGAGCTGGCGGTGCCGGCTGTCAGCAGAGGGTCAGTAGTCACAGGGAACACCAGATGAGGGTCTGGGAGTAAATTGGGCAGCTGGTAGTAAGAGGAGCCAGCGACCATGTACAAGGAGTTTCCTGGCTGGGAGGCAAATGGATGGGTTAAGTTGTGGTTTAAAGAGACAGGAGGCATGGCGAACCCACCGGAGACGGGGTACCCGTGTTCGTACGGCTGCACGGACGACGGCAGCTGGCGTTTCTTCTGCTGCCTGCGGGTTTGCTCCTCCGGAGTCGACGGCGAGCTCGACTTGCGCTTGTTGCCCCGTAAGTCCAACACCGAGTGGGCATCGACGTGCTGGCTGGTGACTGGCAGGGCTGAAGACATAGAGTCAGCCACGCAGTGAATCCCCGCACGCTGCTCAGCTCCTCGAGCCGCTACGCCGGGCGCACTGACTGTGCGGGACGGGTGGCCCTGTGCTGTGGTGGTGCTGGGGGAGCTGTGCCGGGACTCCCGGGCTGCCGCCGCCTCCGCGTACTGCTGCAGCTCGCTGATGATTTCAGGGCTGTCGGGGGATATGGGCCGAGTGAGCTCCTCTGCGCTGGGGAGCTGTGGGGATGAGGCACTGTGTCTGCCGTTGCTTGTGGATTCCAGCGAAGAGCTCTGGGAGCCTGCAAACAAGGAGATGGAGTAGGTGAGAAAGACAGCCTCGGAGAGAAAGCTGGGAGCCGAGAGGTGGAAAAGGCAAGAATATTACGGGGAAGCTGAGGGTGAGCTCTGAATGCCAGGGAACAGCATGCTCCAGACGCTCGGGCGTGGAAGCAGACGAGCAAGCCCTGCAGAGCGCTCACAAGCCCTACCTGAGGCAGCTGTCCGACGGTCTTCGTTGCCCTTTGGCTTCCCAGTGGTCCGGATAGCAAAAATCCGCCCATCACTGGTCCGGATGTATGTCCCTGGAACAGAGGCAGAACAGCTTCATTCACGGCTCCTGGTCTCAGCTGAGGACTCCGACCACTGACCAGAGAAGCTGCCCAGGCAGGAACACAACAGCAGTGCTGCAGAAGGCCAGGCCCACAGAACAAGCAGGGTGATCAGTGGGGGGCTTCTGGCTTCTTCCTTGTTCCTCATACTCTCCTCTTCAGTTTCCCGGGTTGGAGCTCACCCACTCCCAGTGGGAAATGTGGGACCTCATAGTCAGGGTGCTAAGTTTGCTCTGGGAACACTGGGAAAAGTGTTTGGCTGCCCCAGTACATGCAGTGGGTGCTGTGAGAACGAGACACTCAGCAACAGCATCCAACAGCTCCTCTCAGAGGCAGATGCAGTCATAGCTGCAATAGTCCCGAAGTGTCAGCTACAAGAGCACACCACAGGCTGCAACAGAGCACTGTGAAGTCCAGATCTCCTTTCCTTGTTTCTTTCCTCTCAAGGGCCCGACTGATGCCTTTACATCTTTGCTAATTAGCATTGGCCAAGTCCCCACCCAGAAATCCTTCCAAGGCAGAAGGACTTACCTTTTGTCCCTCGGATGATGTGGATGCTCTCACCAGCACTGATTCTTGCCTGTACATCAGTGGATGTGTTTGTACCCGGAATCACAATATCTGGGAGTGGAGGAAGAAAACAAACAGTGCCTGTGAAAACATGTGCCAGCCGCAGCTGGGAGAGGGGAACAAACCCCTCAGCTTGCAATGCAATTGACTCCTCTCTCTGCTGTGCTAGAAGCAAGCCCCAGGTGTATTTCTGAGCAGTGCAGAAGGCAGCACAGGCTTCAAGGAAGCAAAGCCTTGCTGCTCTGGCACAGCATCTCCCCTGTCCTAGCAAAGACAGCTGGTGACTCCTGTCTAGAAGAAGTATTCACTGGTCTCTCACGGAGTTCTATCCCAGTAACCCACCAAGCATGCACCCCTTAGACACCTGCATGCAAAGTCCTCCACATACTGGAGAACTGTTCAAATGCAAAGTGGTGGCACCAGTTGCTCTAACATCTGTTTACCCACAGCCCATGTGGGCATCAGCAGTTCACCCTGCTCCTCAACTCACTGTGGTCATCACAACTCAACTGCCTGTGAGCAGCAGCAACTCACCTGTGGTTGTGACAATCTTCTGCACAAGGACACCAGCTCGCTGTAGATAGTTGATGGGGAAGTTGACAGCAGGGTTGGAACTTGAGGTGGATCCTGCACTGCCCAAGGGGACATGCCGAGGCATCATAGGAATGGGGGTGGATTGAACTGGGCGGACACTTGCCACTGGCTTGTCCTCGCCTTTGAGGGCTGGTCGCCTAGTGAGAGGAGAGAGGAAAGTGCAGTGCCCTCACCAAAAGGGCTAAATGTTCTCTGAGCCTTCATTTCTCATCTACAACACAGGAAGAAGGGAAAGATGCAAACACTTACCAGTTCCTCTGGCTGAAGGCAGGGATGCTCGTCAGGCTCTGGTCACTGGCTGGGTAATATTGTGCGTAGGACGGCCGAGTGTAGGGGACGGATGCTCGCTTTTCCTCCTCATAGCTCTTCTTGGCTGCTTTCTTCTCTGCCTTGGTCAGCTTGTGCTCCTTCCGGTCAATCAGCAGTGACTCATGCTGAAAAGGCTCCTGCAGCCCCACAGCACAGAGCTTTTGTCACCAACTCACCGCAAGAGGGAACCAACATACCCCCACACGGCAGCCATCCTGTCCCCATCCCAGTGAGAGGGACGAGGGGAGCAGAGGCAGAGCTGATCAGAGCACAGCGTATCTGGGGACACGCTGCAGAAGCACCCAAGGCACAGCCCGAAGATTGACCGAGAGTCAGCGAAGCCATCATGTTTGCCAAGCAAAGTGAAGAGTGCAAGCACAGAGCCTGCTGAGGTGTCCCGTAGCCAGCAGAGCCCAACACCTGGCCGCAGGTCCACTCTGCAGCACCATCCTACCAGCAGAGCTCTCCCCAGCAGAGCCAAGTGCTGGCTTTCCCCTGCATTGTTTTAAAATCACCTCAGAAAGAGAGCTGGCAGCAAGTCAGGATGTGCCACTGCCTCCTTCATGATTGAAATAAGAGGTGCCCCTACCACCTGCCCCCAAAACTGTCCAGGACAGAGGTGGCAGATATTGCACCAAAGGGCAGGTCTCTGGAGGAATTTTTATCTATTCCCACCAGCATACTGATGTGTTCTTCTTTGCCACCACATCCCCATCACACAGCCAAACTCCAACAGACCCCGTCTTGCCTACACAGTGCTGTACTAGAAAAGCAACGGGTTGGTCTTATACCTTGGTGATGAGGTGAGGGTACTTGAGACAAGCTAACTGTAGAACTGACTCCTTCATCTTGCTTGGATTGAGGGAGAGCTGAGCAAGGTCGGATTCCTCTTCCACAAAGTGCAGCAGATTCTCCACCTCCCGTCGGGTAAAGTTCAGCACTGGGTTCAGGTCATCCACCACCCGATCTGGAAGAGGGAGGAAACTGTGAGCTGAGAAGGGAAGAGATGGACACTGCTCCCTTTTCTACACTCCTGTCCTAACAGAACTCCCCTCTTTGCAACCTGAATGTTCCTCAGAAGCCTTGTGTAAATGTTAAGGTATTGTGTTGGGAGATGAGCCTGTTTGACCAAGTCAGACTGACAAATGTCTTATCCTCTGAATTGCACAGCAATGCAATGCATGCATGCAGGAACATGAAGCTAAATATAAATGGTGCCCCATCTCACAACCCCCACATCCTAAGGCTGAAAACAGACAAGGTTAGGGACATAAAGGTGGCAACATCAATACTTGACCAAAACGCCACCAAAAAGGCTCGATTGGGTGCTGAAATCCACAGAACTTTCGAGTTGAAAGCTGAGAAAAGCAGCCACGGTCCCTCCCTTGCAAGAGCCTTGAAGTTTTGCTTGGACTTTTCCTCCTGAACATGGAGCACAGACAGTACATGGAGAAAACATCCATACCCAGGACTCTCCTGGGAGCCAGGCCAGCTACCAGGAGACTCTGCCTTGAGGGAAAGGCAGCACACTGAGCTGAAAGCACTGAGCTGCTGCCTCTGGCACAGATAGTTGAGACAAAGCAGAACACAGGCAGCAGAACTCTCTTTGGGTCACTACAGCCCTCAGCTGCATACATTACAAGAGCAGCTTGACAGCTGGCACAAACCAGCACAAAAGGACCTTTTGGTATGAGGGAATTTGGTTAGAAAGGGAATGAATTCATTATTCTTGGCTCTTGAGTAATTTCTACCAGTCAAAAATATCAGTATGTACTTTTATTTTGTTATTTTTTGCTCTCTTGCTGTCAGAGAAATGGAGGTACAGAGCTACTTAAAAAAATAACACCCAGGCATGTGGGGAGCAGGATCATCTCCCCTCAAGCTCCTAGTCTCTCATACAACCAAGAAAGTACAAAGGAATGTAAATGGCACTACAGAGCACAACTCTGCTGCAGGATGTTGGTTCTACAACTCCCTCTGCTCTGCCCTGATTTTCTTGCAGGGTCTCATGTCACTGTTGACTCAAACATCAAACTTTGCCCTATAATAACGTCCTTCTGCCAGCTTCTATGGCTGTTTGGTTCTCAACCTTTCAAATAAGAAGTTATGAAAATACAGAAACGAGACTTGGAGGAGCCAAAAGGAGGAACAGCCAGAAACAGCGTTATGTCCACGCCTACCTGACATGCCCTGCTTGGAGATCTGACGGTCATAGATCTTCTTCTCCAGGGTGTAATCAGACACCAATCTGTAAATGTGGCATGGCTTCTTCTGCCCGTAGCGGTACACTCGGCACACAGCCTGGGCATCATGGCACGGGTTCCAAGAAGCATCAAACACCACCACTCTGTTCGCACCAATGAGGTTGACACCCAAACACCCAGCACTAGAAATGAAAGGCAAAATTTCCAATTGCTGCCTTGGCCAATATTTAAAGCTTCTAGGTGCCACAACCACGATGTATGCATGGAAATTTCCCTACAGTTTTACAGGCAACTTTAACCCTCTATCTGGTTTCCAAGACTGTTATTAAGAGTTTGCAGAGGACTAAGAGTAAAATTTTACATGTCTAGGGAATTCAGAAGGAGATGGTACTACTGTCCCATAAATTCTTGAGAGCAAGTCACAAAGAAAGCTAAGAACTGAAAACCCACATGCATACAGAGGAGCAATGCAAGTCCTCCACCACGTCCTTCTCCAGCCAGCTTACCGTGTGGACAAAAGGAAGAGCCAAACAGAAGCATTACTGGGATCGTTGAACTGGTTAATCAGTCGTTCCCTTTCTGAGGCAGAGGTGCTGCCATCCAGTCCTGAGAAGGAAATTAAAGACTCATTTGAAAGCACTGCTTTTGGGGGAATCCCAGTGGAACAAACTTGCTTTCCAACTACTCAGCTTTGGCTCTGGCTTCTACTCAACTCTATGCATTCATGCACTCCTGGACCTCAACTGGACCACTCTGTACCTCTGATTTGCCCAGCCAGGCAGGTGCAATGCAGCCAGCCAGGCAGGGCTTTGTTCAACTGAAAGATCAACCAAAACATTACTCAATTTGGTAAGGCCAAGACTGGGAGTGCTACAACACACCTAGCACATAAAGGCTTTGTATTAGGCAAGCAAGAGCAGCAGGAAAAACCTCACGTGGACTGGAAGCTCAAGGAACCAAGAGAAAGGGAATTGTGAAAGGCTCTGGCAAAACCTCATTGACTGGATCAAAGAACAGAGAACACTGGTCTGAAAGAGTGCAGAGGAGGTTGTCAAGTCCCTGCTCCTGTGCAGCAGCTTGCTTCTAGCAGCTCTGCAAAAATCAGGAACATCATATCCACCATTCCTCTTAGCCCTGGCCTGTGAAGTAACCACACAAAGCAACAACCCATGCCAGAACAAGATTTAAAGCTGCGAAAGAGGGAAGGGGGAATTCCCAGCCCTGAGGACTGAACTGACAATGTCTTCCCAAGCAACTTCCCAAGAATGGTCTGAAAAAGACTTTATCAAAAGATTGCTTCGGAAGAGCATTTACAGAGTCAGGCAATACTACAGGATGGTGGTGGAAGACACTCAGGAATTAGTCCATCACAAAAGATCAAACAGTATTACACCAAAGGAGAGGAGGCTTGGTTGCACCTACTGTAATAGCTGATGTTTCGGACCCAGTTGTGAACTCCTCCATCTGAACCTGGAGGACTTGGCATTGGTCTTTTTGCCAAAAACTCTTCAATGACAGACAAAGTGGACAGGCTCTGGCTGAAAAACCAAGAACTCCATTCAGGAGAAAGCCTCAGCAGCAGAAGTGGTACATCAGAGCTCTTCCCCAAAGAACCCAGCACTGATGGTGTCAAACCCTGCCTGTTGCAGCCCAGCTCTTGCTCGTAAACTATATATTGGCAGAAGCATAAAATATGTGAAGGAAAAAAAAAAAAAAAAGGATCTAATACAAGAAAGGAGAAAAGGGAAACTGCCACACCATTCACCCCATGTAACAACCTGCTGGCATCAGAAGGCGCTCATCAACTTGAGCATATAGTGACTGTAGGATCAGCCACTGATACTTTGCTTACCTGAAGACCAAGATCTTGTCTCCAAGCTTCACGCTCTCCTCAACTAGGTGGAACAGTAACACCATTTTAGGTGAGTTTTCCAAGACTCCCGTCTGGTAATCACACAAGATGTCTTTGGCCTACCAAGGAATGAGAGACAGGTGGAATTGTTGATGCCCTGTTTATCTCACCTTGGGTACAGATTATTTAACTAAATAAATAATTCCAGAGAGGATATATTCATCCAGTCAGGTGACAATGCTTTTTCCAACCGCTGCTGCTGCCTGCCATTCCAGAAGCTCCAGATGGAGGACGGATGAATGAGCATCTTCTTAACCTCTCATGATTCTGCTCTATCACTAGATCTCTCCTCTGTGTCCTGCCAGATTTACCACCATCTTATCTAGACTAAATTTCAGCCTGACATCTCTTCAGAATAACAAAGTCCATAGCCTTTTTGGTCAGATAAAAATAATTAAGTATATTGCCTGCAGTCCAGTCACACAAGTGTCACAAGATTCCCACCCACTGCCATGCACACATGCTGATCAAGACACTCTGTGGCAGAGAAAATGGATGATAAATGCCTAGCTTTTCAAACAGGAGAGTCTTTTCTTTGCTCTACTTCAGAAAAACTGTCCTAATGAAAACAGGCACAGCCTTTAAGAGTAAGTGTCTGGTCTACGTGTACTGCAACTTGCCAAATACAGAATCATCCAGCAGTGGTACTCACCCACTCGTAAGTAACAACCTGATTTGCTCTCTCCTGAAAGGGGTTGAAGCCAACGCTCTGGAGGAACTTGCTGTTGGTGGCTTCTCCAACTGGTGATGCCAAAGCATTACTCTCTGTTTTGACTTTAACTCCTTGAGGCTGACAGCGGGAATTAGTGCTTGCTGTGCCGAGGTCATCCACGTCCAAGTCCTGCTCGTTTGCTAAATTCTCCTTTTGCAGAGCTTCATACAAGACATCAGGATGGTTCCAGATCTAAAGAGGTAAGAAAAGACAATGGTTAGGCCTGTGCTGGCCTGCTTCCTCTCAATGTTTGGGAACTGAAAGCTCCCAGAGTTATCCAAAGGATAGAATTAATACTTTGATAATCTCATCACCATCCCCACGTGGAACTGCAAGGCACTGAAGAGAAAGCCAGTCTGACTGCATTAAGGGAGCAAAAATAGAAAACACGATTCTGCCACGACACAAGGTACAAGCTGTCTTAGCCAAGGCTCTCCTGACTGTAAAGCTGCCAATTTTTTCCCTCAGAACAAAACAGAATGCCACTCTGACTCTCACACAGCACAAACACAGAGGAAGCTGTTTGCACTGAGGCAGGTAACCAGTCATGGTATCAGCGCAGCACTGGTTCAGCTGACAGCTGCAGGTTTCTTCCCCAAATTTGAACACGTTTAGCAACCCTGCATGCCAGGTCTGTAAGCGAGGACAACAATTTTGCTGGATCACTGCAGAGAACACAGGGGGGAAAGGATGAACCTGGCCAACCACACTTCTGTCTCCTGTTTTGATCCATATTCTTGCTTTTCCCTTGCATATAAATATATATTTTTTGCAACTCCTGTCAAAACCTACCTTACAGCAGACACAGAAAGCTTTGAGTGGGTTCAGTCCCAGCCAGCCGCTGTTGCCTGCATCTCGGAACCGGTTCATGAACTCTGTATAAAGGGCCCGCTGGATCTTCGACAGACGTACCAAAATGACATGTTCTTCCTTAGAGGGGAGCTGAACCTTCAGCACATTGTGCCCCCGCCTGTGGAGACAATAAAGAAAGAGAGATAAATAGAGGGAAGGGAATTTCCCAATCTGCTATCTCTGCGTCTGCCTTCAGGGCATGATTCTGACTTCCTGCCCACCTGGCTGCATGCTTCTCTAATGCATGACACTCATGAGATACTCCCCCTGCAGCCAAATACTAACAGCAAGCACAATTACAGAGATGTCAAATGTTACAATCTTCCAGCACAGGTCACAGTGTTAGGAGAGTGATGGAAGTCTTTTTCTTTTCTTGGCAGTTGAAAAACAGAATTAAGATCTAAGGTTTCTTTTTAGCTCTGCCAATGACTAAGACACTCCATCCAAATCACTGATCCAGCACGTCAGAACCCTTGACCAAGAAACAAAGCCAATTTGTCTCCAGGTTGGCAGAGGCACCATCACTTTTTTTGTAACTGGTTGTTCATGAAACATTTTCAGATCCTTATCCTTATATAAAGGATATCAAAGACTGCACATCCAAATTAACTATTAAGACATCAAAATAAGCTTGAGGTCAATCTGTGCAGTTAGACATGCTGTTCTCCATTACATGTGTTCAGTACCCACACAAACTAACTTTACTTCCATCCCCAAGGCAAAACAAAGCTATAAAAACCACCCTGCAGTTGACAGAGTTTCTGAGAGAAATACAGAGCTACTGTCTTAAGAACATCTCTGGTTTTCTCTGTACACGTAAGGTCCCCCCCCAGAGGCTGGCAAGGATAAAACTCAAGCCCAAGAAGACAGCACAATGAGTTGTTCTGCATAAACTCAGCAATCAAGCAGGCTAGCTTGGGGTGACCGAGCTGGCTGCATGGAGCAGACTACCAGCAGCTCCCCGTGGACTCACCGCTGCACAAAGCCCTCCAGCAGGCTATGCAGGACGTGGCTGCGATACCTCATGAGACGCACATCCTGGGGGGTGCTGTCAATACACTGCCCGTTCAGGATGGGGCGTTCAAACATGTTGCTGAATTCCTGCCGTGAGCCTAGGAAGTCAGGTCGGACAAAGTCTACCATGCACCAGTACTCAATGAGGTTGTTCTGGAGCGGGTAGCCAGTCAGCACCACCCGCCGCCGGGAGCGGATGTTCTTCAGGGCCTGCGAGGTACTGGCATGGCAGTTCTTGATGCGGTGCCCCTCATCACAAATAACCACATCTGGGCCGGGCCGAGACAATGCTTTCTCAATCCCTGAGGACAAGGAACATCAAGCGTTACTCTAAGACAAGCAAGATGAAGTTCTGGCTTTACACAGTCACTGACTTCTCAAAAGGAAAAGGAGGGGTGGCTCTGAAAAAAGTGATACTCATGGGCGGCACAGAACAAGGCTATCTCAGGAAGTTACACTAGCTCCCATTTAGCATGATGTGGCCATGACCAAACACGGCTGTCCCTTGACTACTGCTCAAATGGACTGCATTACATCAAGTTGGGTGTCTTGGGTCATAGACGACTAGCAAAATTCACACACAGACATCTCCAAGCTCAGGGTACTGTCTTTCACTCTTACTTGCAGAATGAGAGACTCACCCAGAGCTGAACAATGCACTGTCTCCAAAGATGCAATCCTGCCCAGCAAAGCCTGATCATGTCAGGGATGCTAGAAGAGAACACCCCATTCTAGACATGTTCTGATACTGAGGGCTGTGGCTTCTAGCCAAATGTAGTGAATAGATCTAACAGCCCTTGGATTACAGGCAGGAAGCAGGTGATCACAAACACATCCACTGTGAAAAGAGCGTCCTGACTTGACTGGCTACAGGGAACAAAGTAACCACTGCCAATGGCTAGGGCTGACGATTATTCACACTATTAGCTCCCAGAAATAAGCAATTTGTAGGTTGTATCCCTGTACTGTCAGAGCTGGTAGCCAGCTGGACAACAGGAACACACACTCTCTCCTGACTTCCCACCTTTCAGAAGCTCTTGCTGTCGGTCTTCCTCATCCAAGTCAATAATGACAGGTCCAGTTTGCTTCTTTGTTTTCTTCTTCCTTCCAGTGGCAAAGGACTTTTTCAGTGAAAGGAGGCGGTACATCTCATATCCCATCAGCAGCACACCGCCCTCTATCACCCAGTCATTCACCACCTTTGCACGTGCAGCTGTTGTCCTGCAAAACAAACCAACAAACAAAATAAGCTGTAAGCATTGTCTGCAGATTCAACTTCAACCACTGGATTGGAGCCTGCCGAGGAAGACTTGTTCAGTCAATTAAAGTACTTTCTAGCATCAAACCAGACAGAGGAATATAAAGAAGTTGCTGCAGCAGTGTTTTTTTTTTTTTGGTGGTGGTGGTGTTTTATTCACTTATTCTTTTTTGTTGTTGTTGTTAAAGAGATAATCTGGTATACAGAAAAGGCAAAAAAAGCCTTTTGGCATGCCACAGGTCATGGGCTGAGACTGAAAAATCCTTCCAGGAACTGGGCTGCAGAAGTCTGTCATGCACAAAAGCATATCAAAGTTGAGAGCATCCTTCTAAAAGAGCTGTTGAGAAGAGGGCCTCCACAAAAGCCAAGCAGGTGCTAATGCACATGGTTGTGACCCTTTATTATGTTTACCCCTTTTTCGTCTCTTCCAATTCCAGTGTCCTTCCACTCTCTCTTCCCTGCTATCCAGTTTAGAATTGGTTCCAATACTGACACTGTCCTCACACAACCTCCCCAGAGCCTACAGAAGCTCATCCAATAGTAAATACATGGCTGGAGTACCAGCAGCTTCAAAGCACACTGCCCTCAGGAGGTGAGGATGAAAACATGTGAGTGTATGAACACTGAGAGTTCCCAACAACCACTACACTGTCCTGATACATGCAAGACAAATGCCTCAGAAAGAAGCAAAGATCCACAGGCCAAAAATACACTCCATGGCAGGCTGTAAGTGCTACTGCTCCTTTCTGGAAAAGCATTCTTTGCATTAATTGCCAGATCTCTCAAGGACAACACAATTCACAGAAAGTCACAGTATAGGGTAGAGGAATCCTTAGGTGTGTGAAAAATCTCAGGGCAAAAACCCAAACATTTAAAATACAAGAGATGCATGGTACATGGTCCCAGGACTCTGACAGGGCTAGCAAGGTACAGCCAAAAACAAACAATAGCATTTCAGTTCCTCTCTGCAGAATTAGCTCTTATCTTTGACAACTGAGTTTCTGATCTCAGCATGAAAGGAAGAAAAGAAAGATGAGTAAGCAGAGTGAGAAGAAAGTACAAGATACAAACGATCCACAAAAGATACTGTGAATTTCTCCCAATCACCAAAATCCTCCCCTCAAAACAGCGTTACACAAGAAAAGCAGAGTGGGAAGGACCTGGGAGTTGACAGCACAGAATTAGCCCAAACATAGCAGTCTGCAACAGTAATTCTTCTAACACTTCCTCAAGTCTAACAGTTCAAAAGGGCTTCTACAGGCACCTACTTGTGTTCATCATTCAGGATGTGGACTTTGAAGGTGCGAGGCTGGACCTCTTTAGAGTTATAATCAGCAGGAAGGTTTTCAGGAGCTGGGAGCCACATGTTGAATTCTGCTAGCCAGTTTTGGAGCGTATTCACCTGAAAAAGTTAACCATGGAAAGATTGAGAACTCAGCTGAGCTGCTCAGGATTTTAACAGCAGAGATGAGAGCATGGAACATTTCCCTGCTGTGCCCAGACAGGAACATGCATAATCAGGGACATGGGGAACAAAATGGGGAAAAGAGCAGCAAGGGTATGACAGAGCATGATGTAATATGGGAAACTAATCTATCTCTACACAAAGAGAGAAGCAGAGCAAGGAAGGTGATCATTAAGCTCTTCACAAGGACCACTTACAGGTACAATGGCAAGAACAGTCTTTGCCTCCGTGTGCCGAAAAAGTACATCCAAGAAAGAGATGACCTGTATGGTCTTGCCCAGGCCCATGCTATGTGCTAAAATACACCCAAACCCGCTGCTGGTTTTAAATCTCTCCAAGGACTCGACCAAGTTGTCATACAGGAATCGGATCCCACCAATCTAGAGAGAAAAGCAGAAAAACTGAATTGGGACTGGTTAGTTCATTTATAAATACAACTTCGTTTTTAAAAATGCTCATCCAAATAGGCAAAGAAAACACTCCTGTCTGTTTCAGATACTACTACACCCAGATAAGAAACAACTTTGCCATCCCAATGAACTCTAATCTTTATAAAATATTTTGCCTTTGAGAGCTGAAGGAATTTTTTTACAAGTACAGCCAGAATAAAGAAAAAACATTTTAATTTATTTATGTTTTTATTGAATTTTATTGGTGGTAGGTGGATGATCAGACCAGATGATCTTGGAGGTCTTTTTCAACCTTGGTGATTCTACTATTCTATGGATATGAGCATGGGCCCTTGAAATAAAGCAAAGGGCTTTTCTTATCAAATGATAACAGCAGACAAATTACAACATATACATAGCCCAGGCCTTCTTTCAGTTTCTCCTCATCATCTGACTGTCCACAGCTGCAACCACTGCAACCAAACTGGTCACAGATGTCACCAAAGAAATTCGGCTGCAATAGCAGAGCTGGTCTGTCTGAATCTGTTGCACTTCCAAGCCTAACACAGCCTACCTGATGAGGTTTCACTGCATGTGCAAGCTGGGGAGCCAGGAAAATGTCTTCCTCGTTTGGTGGATGGTTGATGTTGACAATGACTTGCCCCAGAGCATCTGACTGATTTAAGGCATCATTCACATGAGAGCCGCTGCTCTCTTCGCTGCCGTCTTCCTCCCCTTCATTGCCAGAGTCACTGCTGTCCACAATTTGGGGGGCATCGTCCTCTCCCGAACTCAGTTCAATCACTTCTGTAAACAGAACAGGAGAGAATAAGGGCAAAGGTTAACGTGATGTCAGTGTTAATCACGCTTGGAAAAAAACTCATTTGGGGAAAATAAGGCCACCACGTTCTGCAATGCTGCCCTGGCACAGTGACCTACTCTGAGCAAGCAGGCAGGACACAAGCCTACAAGAGGCCTCTCAGGCTAGCATATAAAAACTGGGTTTTCCCTGAGTTTCCCATTGCTTCAGAGAATACTCATTGAGCAGGGCCATGCAGAATATGAGGTAGTTCCTGTATGTGCTTTACATTCTCCTTCCCAAACCCAGACAAGCACTGTTATCTGTTGATGAGCTGTCTAATGACTGCCAAAGAGATCAGGCAGAAATACTGGGGTGGTATAAAGCAATCAGGCTAGATCCATCTGGGACAAGGGACACAACTGCTTTCAGCTGTAGATCTGAATACTCAGATGCAGATGATGCCACATCTCATGTAAGCATTCTTCAGCAGAGCACTGAGCAAAATGAGTATTTATAAAGCAGAAATAAATACAAGCTTGCAACAGTGCCTGATGGGCCAGGCTAGAAGTCAATTTAGGACTCAAAGGCAAAAATTGGCCATATATTTGGAAACAAACAGACCTACAGAAATCCAAAGTAATTCCCTACTGGAACATCTGACTAGAGAAACACGGGAGTTTGTGGCTGAATAAATGGCACTGCTGTGAGAAGACAAGGGGAGACTGTTGGTCACTTACCATCTTTAATGCTATTTTTTCCTTTAGTATCATCTTCACTGCCACTGCTGGTACTGTCTAGGCAGATCACTTCCTCAGCAAGGACCTGAGGGGGGAGCTGGGTAGCCTCTGCTGCTCTGAAAATGTCCTCTACAAACATGACAATAAGTAATTCATAACAACGGAGAAGGAGACAAAACTGTTCAGAAACCAGACAGTATTTCCTTCCATTTTTGCTCCAATAACTTAGTCCTGGAATTTTCCATAACAGACTCTCACTGTCTAAAATACTGCTATGACTCAGCTTCCTGGGTCACAGTCGCCTTCTTTCTCAGTATACCTAAACAATAACCCATTGCTCATGGCATACTCTTCGTTGCATGCCCTGGCTAGGGCACACTGACCATACACATGCTGAGGTCTCCTCCTTCCCCCTTGTTTTCTGTCTCAGAAATAAAAGGATTTCATTTTTCTTCATTCCAATCCTATTTTTCATCCAGCAGAGAAGTACCAACTGCAGAAGGCATGATAATTGTCTCTACCTGTTAGTAGAGACACCGTAGTAATTATACCCTACATATCATAAACAACTTTTGATGATCAAGACCGTTTTTTTGTATGTTTAGGTATTCCCATGTGGGGAGAGAGGCAAGATCAACAGGGCCAGATAAGAACTGCTGCAGTGACTCAGTAAGCAACCATAATCATCTGGGGCTGCAACCTATTCCTCACAAGTTAAAGTGTTTTAAGCTCCTGTTCATCTTTTTCTTTTTTAATGCAAAACATTTTAAACTCTTGAACTCTTGAACTTAAGAGACAATATACATTTTCCCAAGAGGCAAAGCCAACCTGAGAACTCCCAGTTCCCTGACAGGCTGCCCAGCTGCACTCCTCTGCCCTCGCACAGCAGTCTGAGGGGCTGTGCTATAAAATCACTTAAATGATCCAAGTTAGAAGATGATGCAAGATGACATATCGTCGATCTGCATCCTGACATAGGGTTATCTGCCAGTAACTGAGGTCATCCCCATTGTGAGAAGAAGATACTTCACCATTTATACTGCCTATTATTTTGCTGCTTGTTGAAACATGAAAGAAAGGATAAGGCTACATGAACATACATACACCCGGTGTATTGTTCTGCTGTCCCAGGACCAGATCCATGCATTACCAGACTACTCACAGAACAAACATGATCTAGACCAAGGACACGGCCTTTCTGTCAAGTCAGTTTGTTTATGCTTCCAGAGCAGTTGGAAAGACAAGAGAGACCTGTTCCAGTACCCTGCTTACACAGTTAACCGGCCAAAATACCTTCAAGCAAAGTTTTCTGCCACTTTCTACCATGCAGCCACAGCATCTTCCTTCAGAACTAGCTCAGAAGTGGAAAGAAATGCCTATACTTAAAACTCTTGCTTCAGGTAGCATCTCCCACTGCTTACCAGGAAGAAACTCGGGGGATACGGTTGGGATAGTGGCTGGGTAATCCTTCCGTTGCTGCTCTAGACGCTTCCTTCTCTCCAACTCTTCCTGTTGGGCTGCCTTTGTCACAGCCTCTAGTTGGTCCTCACGCAATAGCTTTCTGAACACACAAGCAAATGGAGAAACAGCCTGGTTACACTCAAGTTTCTTCCAAAAAAACCAAACAGCTGTCCAGCTGGCTTAACAGACCGACAAGATCCAAGTCGTGTGTCAGTTCAGTGACTACAAACATCACAGCCAAAAGTTACAGACAGTGCTACAGCTCAAGACTGCTTTCCAGCTGCGGGCAACAATACTATTACTCAAGGATAAGAGTTTGAAAGAAGCAAAGTAACAAAAGGAGGATAAAACATGAGTGGGTAAGAATACACTTAAGCTAGGTTACCAGAAACCAGCAATATTTGAAAGAACATTATTTTTACATTATAAATAGATAAGGCACAAAGTTGTGCAAAAATGTACGAGGAAAAAAGGCATCAGTTCCCCCACAAAAAGTTATCATCCTGATTTTCATCTGCTTCAGTGTTTTCAAGAAGCAGGACCCCTCAGGGCTTTAACACCATTGCTCCAAAGGCTGCTCTCAAAGCCACTTATTTTTCCAGCTAATTGCCATACTTCTAAAAGTCACTTTCCTCTTTTCAGTTCCACTCTCATTTTCTGATTTGCAGCCCTGGAAATGAAGGCTCTTTTGCCAGAGAAGAGGTACAGCCCAAGCAGTGGCAAAATCCAACTCCTTGCAGGCAGCCACTGCAGGGACAGTTCCTCCATCCTATGTACATCTCAGGCTTCAAAGCCTACTCAGTGCTCACTCCTTCAGCTTCAAGAAACTCCACCTGCACCAGCTGAAACACATGCCCAATACCATCAGCACCACACAAGCAGAAGAGCCACTTGTTGTCATAGGAATCCCTGCTCCACTATGACTCCTCTGAACAAAATTTAATGGTGAATTACCACCTCAAAGCCTATCCCAGAATGTATGTGGTAACTCATGCAATCAGTTACTACTTCATAAAATTCAGGTGAAATGGATTTCCAGCATTTCAGTCACCTATCACAGTGAGAGTGTTCCAGGACAGAGGAAGGACTGTATTTTAGGCTGTTTACAACACATCATCAGCAAAAAATCACATGTACACATCTGAAACTGGATATTTACTTAATGATGGTGCTATTTTTCAATTAAATGTCTAAATAAACAGCAGCCAACAGCTGATTTTTGCAATCCACTCCATACTAGATATTCACTCTTCTGAAATACCAAATGAATCTGCACCCATATGCAGCGCTCCAGACTGCCACTGTTGAAATCCAAAGGCTTTGGAAAAAAAGTAGAAAAAAAGGCTTTGCCAACAGTGGGAAAATGTAGCTTAGAAAAAAAAGTCCACAGACTCCCTCTTTACCCAAAAGACTCCCTCTTTACCCAAAGGAGTCCAGAGAAGGGCCATTAAGATGATCAGAGGGCTGGAGCACCTCTCCTATGAGGAAAGGTTGAGGGAACTGGGCTTGTTTAGCTTGGAGAAGGCTCCAGGGAGACTCATTGTGGCCTTCCAGTACTTGAAGGGAGTGTATAAACAGGAGGGGGAATGGCTGTTTATGAGGGTGGATAGTGATAGGATGAGGGGGAATGGTCTTAAAGTGAGACAGGGGAGGTTTTGGTTAGATATCAGGAGGAAGTTTTTCAGCCAGAGGGTGGTGAGGCACTGGAACAGGTTGCCCAAGGAGGTTGTGGATGCCCCATCCCTGCAGGCAATCAAGGCCAGGCTGGATGTGGCTCTGGGCATCCTGGTCTGTTGGCTGGTGACCCTGCACATAGCAGGGGGTTGGAACTGGATGAGCATTGTGGTCCTTTTCAACCCAGGCCATTCTATGATATGATATGGTAATATATAGGACTCTACCTCTTCTTGTCCTGTTGATGCTCACCTTATGTTTCTCCGCATGTGAGACGGTTTCTGAGCCCTCTTCTTTTTGGTGTCCCCAGAGGCCAGGCTCTTGTGCTGGTTCTGCAAGAGTCGCTCTGCCCGCTCACTCTGCGATGAGGTAGTTGAAGTAGAGCGCTGCCATTCTCCATCCTCTGCGTGCTCAACATGGTCACTGCTGAACACAGCTTCCTGGGGTTGGTCTGCAGAGACAAGGTGGCAACGACATGAGAACAGCTGTGCCAAGCCATCACTTGGTTTTCACAAGAGCACCTATCAGCATTTCAGCTGTATGGGAATCCACTCGTGTCAAATTTGCAGTCCTTCCTAACAGTGCCACTCAGAGCGTTAAGAAATTATATGCTGAAGGGTCTGTTTCCAGTAAAAGCCATGACTATCCTACTCAGCCCTAAAGTGTCCTTACAGAAAATAGGGTAAGATTATTTCAGCCCGTGCACAGCGTTTCCATTCACATGACACCTGTGTAACTATCTTCCAAGCTAAGAGAACACAGTGCTATCTGCTTCAAACACTGGGTCATGGCCCATCAGGAAGCTCCATACTTTTATCACCAGACTCCACTCACATGATTTAAATGCTACCTTCTGGCAAGCTCTTTTGAGAAACCACAAAGTGACAACCCTCTTTCTGTTTTACGGACTATAGACTCCTTTTCCCCTGCCTTCTCTTATTTTCAGGCTTGCATTAGTGCCTGACTTCAGTCTAAAAGTGCTATGCAAAATGACATTGTGTTCCATGTCATTTGGCTCTTCAACAGGCTGCCAGTGACAAACTCTGCAGAGCAGAGAATGGAAGTGTTTTCTGTTTGAAAGCTTCCCTTGAAGTAAACTGTTTTTGACAAGCCTTGTCGTAGCTTCTTTGAAGCACCTTGTCCCCTTGTGTCAGACAGAGATACCCCAAACCTCATCTCACAATCAGCTTTCTTGCTCACAGCATGTGTATGAGCTAATGACTGCACTGCAACGATGCTTGGACAGAACTCAGAAGGAAAGAGGGGGAAAAAGACATCAGCAGAGAAAAATGCAGAAGCAACACTGAACCATCAAACATCATTTTGTAATGCCTTGGTACCTGGAGACACAGAGCACCCCTTCTCACAGAGCTGAGAGCTGGAACCAAGACTGCCTCAGTACAGCACTACGTGTACCTCTATGGCTTCCAGTATAACACATCCATTTAAATTAATCTTATCATCAGTATCGCCTCTTAAAATTGAGGTGACAAGGACCTGATGTGCCTTGGGCCAATTCTGTAGCTTCACTCCAGACATTGCAGTGTCCCTGCCCAGTGCCAGCAGCAGCCACAACGGGCCAAAACTAGTATGAGCAGCTCAGCATCCCTGGGAATGGCAGTGCCAGCAAATTCTGTGTGTGCTAGATAAGCAGGCAGCCACAGCTTATGCGATGAATGGAGGAAATGTCACATGTGAGCACTAAAGGCAAAGGGGTTCACTGCTACCATCGCAGCAATTCTGCTGCAGGCAAGGTCTGGGAGTCCTGTGCTGGAAGCAAACCCACATTACCTGCAACTCCTCAGCAAATCTTCCTTCTTCCTGGCCCTCTGGACCCAGACCCAAGGTTACATAACTAGATCAAAGGATCGGATGAAATAGGGCAAAGGGAAACAGGGAGACTGCACACATGACCGCATTCTCGGGGATGAGTCATTAAAGCAGTGACTATCTGGAGACAAACACTGCCATGGTTACATTGCTGCCATCTCGCCCTGCCCAGGGGACCTTGGTGAGGCAGGAGGAGCACTAAGTCCCACCAGCTGGGCAAGGGAAGTGTTCCGCTTCCTCCTCCCGCCATGCCATAGCTGCTACCTGACAGGCTGCAGCTGCAAGCAGAGGTTGTTCTGTTGCTGGTCTGTATTGAGAAGCTGTTACATGCTGGGTGTTCCCAAGGGCAGTGGTAATGATGCTGCAGCAGCACATCCAGTTCTGAACCTCTGGGGTTCAGGTCTTGCAGCTCTGCAGCAGCCCAGCTGTGCCCTGCTCCTTGGACAGACACCTGCACGTAGCCAGGACTGCGCCGTCACAACCCACAGACCTGGTCACAGCTCTGGTTCATGCTGCAGGTTGGGGCTGCCGACTTTCCTGGCTCACTGAGCAGCAGCACCCACTACCCCCAGCTGTACACAGAGCAGGGCACACGTCCGGCTCCTCCGCTAGCACCACTGAGAAGCCTGCGAGGAACACAGTCGTGACAGCTCCGTGCATCTGCTCCCTGGGTGGGATGACTGTCAGCTGCCCCTGAACACCATGACTCACGATACATAACAGTAAGAGATCCGTCCCACCGCAGGGCATTTCCTATTGCACCTAAGCCTGAAGATCTCAGCTCGCCAACTCCTTCTTGCATAATATTCTCAATGTTTATTCTCACAAAACAGCATGGCGTGCAGCCTGCAAAATACTCTCCAGCACCTCAGGTTTTGCAGGGCACTAAACACTGTTATGCAAGGTTCCTGAAGCACTGAGCACCTTGTTTTCTGGGGGAGCATGAGATTGCTGTAACTGACATAAGTCTTCCCCTGGCATCGAGGTGTGTGAGAAATAGTGCCAGAGTCTCAGTGAGGCTAGCATCTATGCACTCATAAATAAATCCCAATGGGCCTGGAAACAGTCAAAAACTTGCAGGAAATGCCATTCAGGATCAGACCCGAGGGTCCCCACCTGAGGCTGCTGCACAGGAAGGTGCAGGAGCCACCTCAGTTCTCACCACACTGAGGGAGCTGGTTGCTCCTTTGTGCCACACTGATATTAACAGAGCCAGCTAGGCTCAGCCCTCCTGGGAGGGCAGCCCTCCGCCAGCACAGCTCCAGGGACAGCGTATTGCTGAGAACAGCCCTTTGTTTATTTTTAAAGTCATTTCTCTAGGGATACTCAGGGTCCTAACTAGTAATGTTTTGCTGAGCGTGGGCATTAAGGACCGAGACATGCATGCACGGCGAGGATAGCAGCTGTGTGCAGAGCAGAGAGCCATCTGTTTCTGCTGCAGGAGCTCTCTCCTGTCCTGCACAAAGAGCAAAGAGCAGTTATCCTGTTTCCTGCAGTCTGTGGGCAATCAGAGACCAGCTAGTACTGGCTCGTACTACTACAGCCAGCACTGAGCTGTCAGAGCAAGAGTGGGAGGAGCACCAAGCGATGGCACAAGGAAGCCTAATTGTACAGCTCCAGCTGCAGTCACTGACACACTGAACTACAACACAGCCAAAGGCTAGAGCAGTGGCTCTGCAGAGCACTGGCACTGACACACTGCAAGATACTCTGGGTCAATCTGCTGCTCTCCCTGTGCTGGGCACAGGGGATGTGGAGCCAATGGGGTTCAGCTGTAGCACAGCAATTGTCTTGGAGGTTGGCAGAGGACTGTGCTGACTTGTCCCGTATTCAGCTGAAGCAGAAGATAAATGAAGTATTTGCAGAATATTTTCTGTGTATGTTACTGATGCAGCTGTTGTGTGGATGCCATGCAAGGAGGTGTTCCCAAAGCACACCTCATACGAAGGCAATGCTATGGAACAGCCCAGTACACCCAGCTGGAGGCAGGACAGTGATGAAACCCCTCTAAATGAAGGTGTAGGGAGAAGCAAAGGGGAAGCCTGGGCCCGCTTCCTGAAGCCCTACTTACCAGAAAACTCACAAGACCCACACAGAATCCTGAGCCCTCCAAGGCCCTGGCACATACCAGGAAGCCCACCCTGTAGCAGGGAAGTGGCTCTCAGGGGGCTGGGGCTCAGCCACCCCCCTCGCTGCTATCAGGGCAGCTAATTAGCAACAAGACTTTGTTCTGCTAGGAAAATAATTGCTCTCAGTCTTCAGCGGCGGCAGGATGCCCCTCCCAGCCACAACCGCTTAACAAAGCGCTAATTATATAAGTGCTGGCATTATATAAGCCGACACACCTACCCCCGGGCCCCGTGCAGCACCCACTGACCCCTCGCTCCTCTCGGGCCGTGCAGGGCCAGCACCCAGCACCATTATGGGGTATGTCTGTGCTTGGTGACACCAGGGCTCCCCTTGCCTTATCAAGGTTGAGGATATGAGGAGATGCAGGCTTGGTCCCACCACCTCATCCTGGCTGCCAGTGGTTGTTGTCCTGCTAAGTCACAGCCATGCAGTACTGTAAAATACAAGCACAGCATTCTGCCCAGCCCTGGAGCTGGAAGGTGCTCTCTGGGTTATCCGCATCAGCTCCAGCATCTTCAATTCCCATTGCTGACTGAGTTAGAGCTAACCACTCCAGCACTGTCACTAGTGTGTCGCTAACCAGACACGGGCTGTCATGTTGGCATGGCAATCGGTGCTGTTACAAGTCTGAGTGGTACATTTTCCATTTCTGTAAACAAAATGTGTCTGTAAAGTGATGGTGCTGCAGATTCAGGACTCTGTGAAACATACAGCCTGCAGGTCAGGGGCTGCCCTGGGCTTGTGGGAAGAGCTCTGGGTGAATCCTGCAGAGGAAACATGGTAGGAGCTTGACCAGGAGAGCATACAGCTGCCAAACCACCTCCAGGCTCCTCTCGGAAGGAAGTGAGCCCCAACCAATGGACAAGTTTAACAGACGAGGCAGCACTGCCCTTCTGTTTCTTTCACCAGTGGCTCTTTGGTGTATCGGTTACCACAAAGTTATACTGCACAGTAAAACTTTTTCGGCCTGAAGGAACCCACAGGCAGCAGAAGTGAGGGGCAGGAGAAAGGAAGAAGCAACCCGAAAGCCAGAGGGAGAGCAAGCAGCTGAGAGCGCTGCGAGGCAGGCTGGAACCTTCGGCAGCCAACTCTGGTGACAGACAATATATCTTCTAACCCGGGGATTATGCAAGCAGAACCAGGCCCGCGTACCAGCCGTGGCCGGGTTACATAAAACCCCAGGAGCACTTACACAACGCCAGCAGGGCACAGGTAGCAGCCCCAGCAGGGATGCAGAGCTGCAGGGGATATTTCCATAGCGCTGGAGGAGCACAGGGCACTGCCCCACATCTCTCCTCCACGCATGGCCCAAGATACTTTTCCCAGGAGAAATCCTCCTACCTACAAATGCCCCCCCTCCTTTCGACTCCTCCCTCCCTCCCTCCCTCAGCAGAGGGGCAGGGAAACAAAGCCAGGAAATGCACCCAGCACCCAGCGGTGCACCAGGGATGGGCTGCATTTGTCCTTTACGCAGGGGACGAGTTACATAAA